TTTAATCTAGTAGGGAAATCAGAGAGGACAATCACCGACTCAAAGCAAGATACAGTTGAAGCACCACTGTTCCTCGGATACAGCCCTTGCAAGGGAAACAAAAACTTATATAAAAATTTGACATAAACTCGCATCAAAACATCATCCTAATTCCAAAAAAAAATCACATATGAATAGAGAGGGAATAGGTGAAAAACTAAAAAGGAAAGGGGTGAGGGGGAGCGGCAGACCCCTCCCCTATTAAAGGACGGTTGGTCCAGCAGGAGGCTGGACCAGGACCCTTTCTAGGTCGGTTCAGCTAGCCCTCCTTCCAAACGGTTCAGCCGGCCTCCCCTAAGCACCTGTAGCAAGTTGATTCTCCTCAATTCTTATCTCCCGAGTCTCAACTATTTACTTGTTTCATTACACACTGCTTTGTAAAGGAAATCACTCTTGACACTTGAAACACTAGATAACTTGGAATGTCTTGGGAGTGCTGGCTCGATCAGTCTTTTTTACTCCTTTGTTGGTTTCTCCTCATAAGGGGAAAGTCTTACCACTCTAGTTGGTGTGCTCTTGCTACCCAAACCTATGGTTAAATTTTGTTGGAAGGGTGGAGTGGATTTTATGCAACTTTGTTGCTTCTCCATTTTAAAGTCTAAGATTTGTACATTCTACAATATCAAGTAGGGATATAACTTGTCAAATTACCAATAGAATGTCTCAATCGTTCAAACTATAGGACTATGGTACTTTTATCTAACTCTACCAACTCATACTTCGACATGAGTTTTTAAATTTAGCTTTGTATTCCCTCCTGTATTCCTCTACTTGTAAGTTCTTCTTTTACAAATGTTGATGTCGCAAAACTATATTTTATTTGTATTGTGCTAGGACGTACTTGTGTTGCATATTCTTGTTTCTCTTGGTCCAAGTCACGATCTTACATTTTCTTTCAATATAGTGCAAGTGTTTCAGCTTCTCCAATCACAAAGAGGCGCATTTTTTTAACTTGATAATAGCGAACTTCACATTTCTATTCAGTAAAATACTTTTGTATATAAAGACCCGCTTCGCTATCTAGAGCCATCTGATAAACTCATCGTAATCCATATGACCATTAAAGTTCGATAGATCAGCCTTCACTCCAATTTCATCATTTCATCTTGTATACTTCAATGTTGAACCTACATGGCATCGGCTCTTTGTTCCTTGAGACTTCTTGGTGAAAGGAGCTTCCATCTTCTCCATTCGATTGATCTATGTTGTTTTGTGGGTGTCTTCTGCACGTTACCTTCTATTAAAATCAGCAATCTATGATGTAGTTGGAGTATTTCTCACTGCATATCCTCCATGCTAAGCTTTTGAACACTTACAGTTTCTCCTTGGTGGCTTGGTGGCTTGCAGCTCACTTGGGGATTTTGGCTTGGTCTTTTATTATTATTGTATTTTTTTTTATTCAGTAGGTTTTCTATTCTGTTCAAATTATTACAATAGAAACCTAAGATTACCTGAGCACTCATGGATTGTTGAATTTTTGTTTGTTATTAATGGTAATTTTGTGGACTATCTATTGTTCTGATACGTAAATTGTTGAAACTTACAAGCATAAGGTAAATAGAATAGGTGTTTCCTGGTCATTTGTGTGATCTGTCATCTTACGGATGTAATTGTCATACCTGAAGTGAAGTGCAGGGATTTGTCTTGTGGGTTTGCTAAGTGATGAGTTCTTTTATCTGACATATTCTGTTTTTTTTTGCAGATTTGTTATCTGTAATGCATGTAGCAGAGATTTGTCTTACAAGCAGAAAGGGACAAATAATGTTTATTCTTTACGTGTTGGCCAACACTCTCATCTTCACTGGTCTGATACATCGAGGTTCTGTCTTTTCTTCTACGTAAAGATAGGCTTTTAATGGTTAAACATTATTTCTTGCTGTTTGTTATATCCTATTTCCAATATCTGTTCAGGAATTTCAAAACTTCTTCACCTCTAGCTGAGTGCACTGACATGTATATTGCATTTTTTATCTTATAATGAAGGAATAATACTGAAGTGTCTTACAATCAGTAAAATTACTGTTCAATTATTTTTTACTCATCAAACAGCTAATTTCATTCTTGGGACTTTGTTGTCGATCTTTTATAGTTTTTTCTGAGGTTTTATGTTTTGAAATTTTTATATTGTTAACAATGTGAAAGTGGCACAGAGAATTGCTGGTATCTCTTCGGTTCAATGAAATGGGATGGCAATGGTCAGGGAGTTTCCTTCCAGACTGTCTGGGAGACGTTCAAGTGAAAATGCGCAATTATGTGTCTGGTGAATTAAGCATGGTTCGAGTTGAAGTACAAAATGTTGATATGGACATGAATGATGAAAAATCAATTCCAAAGTCTAATGGAAGTTCATCAACTCAGTTAATACTTCTTTCAGATGACAAGACAGGGTTTATTCCATACAGGATAGACAACTTTTCAAAGGAGGTAATTTCTTAAGAGTTTTCACAGGTTAATATATTTTCATGCAGTTCGCCCGTTTCTGGGTGATCTTGTAAACAGCAAATTTGTGATTGCTATAAATCATCATGATTGCAAGATATTACCCAAATTGCTTTAGTAAATTTGAATTTTTTATGGAAATGTACTTTATTTCGTAGGTTTCCTTGGTGGAAGGTTATTCCTCAACACCACCAACCCCAGCTGAAGCTGTTTTACTTCTTACTTATTTAAGGTTAATAATTGAGATAAGGTAGCCCATCATCGCTAAATGAGATTCCCAAAATGTTAATGCCTCCCCACAGCCCAACCCTTTTTAAATATATTGGGGTCACTGGTTCACGCAAAAATTATGATATCTTTGTCGAGCCTACTCTCATTTCCCAAATCATTCTGACATTAATCTAGGATTGCTAGATGGTGTAGGAAGACCCAGAGAAGGGTTAAGAGGGTTGTAGGATGAGTATCAAAAGTGGAAACGGCGATGATGGTCTAGGAATGGCGAAAACTGCTGTTGTACAGCAAGCTGTATGCCTAGAGAGCAGTTCGGTGGTTGTCAATATGGAAATAGATATGCTAATAGCAAAGCGGGAAGGAACGAACGACGAGGAGGATTCAGTGTGTGCTCTCTTCAAGATACAAACACACAACTTGAAGGAGAAAGGCTATAGTACTCCTAAATGAAGAGAAAATCTGAGAGGAAACTCAAATTACCACAAATTTAAAACAAAAATTGTCTCACCAATTAAAAAATAAAGCCAATATATAGCCTCCAAATAAAATAAACTATAGTACTAATTAAAATAGTATTAAATAGAGGTCAATAGAGGTTGCGTAGGCAAAAAATCTTTCAATAGCAGTTTTCATGGGCCCAGAAGGTACTCTAATCGGTGTGCTTTTGTTGGCCGACCCAATGGTCAATCTCTATTTGATGGGTGGTGTAGACCCGATATTAATGTGTTGTCTGAATCTTCAGTGCTGGGGTTGGACATTCTGTAAAGTCAAACAGGGTTGTAACTGTACCATGTTGCCAAGGGATGATCTCAACCCTCGAAGATATCGAGTTATGGTGTTCTCCTTGGGCTCTGCTAATTCACACATCATCATAAGCTGCTCAAGCTCGGTGGTATACTCTACTAAGAGGTCTTTTTCTTGTGAGTGAGGAGCCTCAGAAATATGCCTTAACTAGAATGTGCCAGTTGATACTTTGCCTACATCTCTCTTTTTCATCTTAAACTAGATTTTGATTTTGCTTTTTCCCTCTCACTAACGCGGACGCTTTAAAATTTTCCTCCATAAGAAAAAACTCTTCTTCAACTTAATGACGGCTAATTTTACCTTTCTGTCAGGTCGAACGCCCTTGTACTTAAAAACTTATTCCGCTGGCTAAAGTTACTCAATGAACTCATCTGGATTCATGTGTAGACCCGATATTATTGTGTTGTATTACTCTTCAGTGCTAAGGTTTGGACATTCTGTAAAATCAAACAGTGTTGTAACAGCACCACGTTGCCAATGGATGATCTCAACCCTCGAAGATATCGAGTTATGATGTTCTCCTTGGGCTTTACTAATTCACATTTCAGCATAAGCTGCTCAAGCCCAGTGGTATACTCTACTAAGAGGCCTTTTTGTTGTGAGTGAGGAGCCTCAGAAATATGCCTTAACTAGAATGTGCTAGTTGATACTTTGCCTACATCTTTCTTTTTCATCTTAAACTAGATTTTGAGTTTGCTTTTTCCCTCTCACTAACGCGGGCGCTTTAAAATTTCTCTATAAGAAAAAACTTTTCTTTAACTTAATGACGGCTAATTTTACCTCTCTGTCAGCTGGAACGCCCTTGTAGTTAAAAACTTATTCTGTTGTCTAAAGTTACTCAATGAACTCATCTGGATTCATGTGTAGACCCGATATTATTGTGTTGTATTAATCTTCAGTGCTAAGGTTTGGACATTCTGTAAAGTCAAACAGTGTTGTAACAACACGTTGCCAATGGATGATCTCAACCCTCGAAGTTATTGAGTTATGATGTTCTCCTTGGGCTCTTGTAATTCACACTTCAGCATAAGCTACTCAAACTTAGTGGTATACTCTACTAAGAAGCCTTTCTGTTGTGAGTGAGGAGCCTTAGAAATATGTCTTAACTATAATGTGCTAGTTGATACTTCGCCTACATCTCTCTTTTTAATCTTAAACTAGATTGTGGTTTTACTTTTTCCATCTCACTAACGTGGGCACTTTAAAAATTTCCTCCATAAAGATAAACTCTTCTTTAACTTAATGACGGCTATTTTTACCTCTCTGTCAGATGGAACGCTCTTGTACTTAAAACTTAGTGGTATACTCTACTAAGAAGCCTTTTTGTTGTGAGGAGCCTTAGAAATATGTCTTAACTATAATGTGCTAGTTGATACTTCGCCTACATCTCTCTTTTTAATCTTAAACTAGATTGTGGTTTTACTTTTTCTGTCTCACTAACGTGGGCACTTTAAAAATTTCCTCCATAAAGATAAACTCTTCTTTAACTTAATGACGGCTATTTTTACCTCTCTGTCAGATGGAACGCCCTTGTACTTAAAAACTTGTTCCATTGGCTAAAGTTACTCAATGAATTCATCTGGATTCATATATTAAATCCTATAAATTCACCTTTAATCTAAAATCACACTCTCTCATATACTCAAATCGGAACCAACGCAGGATCGGTTCTTCATCACTTGAGGCTTTTTGGTGAAAAGGGTTTACATTCTCAATTCTATCCAGGCGACCATTATTGTTGTTGTGGGTTACTTTCCTAATTCCGGTAAATTCACCTTTAATCTAAAATCTCTCTCCCCTGTAACCAGTAAGTTTACCTTTAATCTAAAATCACTCTCTCATATACTCAATGTCGAACCGACACGGTATCTGCTCTACCACTTTAGGCTTCTTGGTGAAAGAGTTGACATCCTCAACTCTATCTAGGTGGTCACTATTGTTGTTGTGATTTACATCCTTAACTCTATCATGTAAATTAACCTTTAATCAATGAACCACTTGAGGCTTTATCCCTCATCCACATGTCCAATCCCATCCCACACTTCTTTGACAACATAGAGTCACCGCTGTACTCCAACCCCACCTCGATATCTCTCTCAAGCATCCGGTCAGTCCTACCATTTTTCTTTTGAAGTGTTTTTATGGGCTCCGAAAATTTGAAATACTCTGGACTCTCTTCGAGAGCTTATGATTAGTTCTAGGTCAAATTTTTAAAAGGCATGTGAAATAGTAGATAAAATACTACCCAGAGATTTTGCCTTCATTTTGTGAGGACGATTTGTGGTTTGATGTTTCCCATAGGCGTAAGCTCCTATAGTTAATTACCCCTCCTAATAATGGGATAGCAACTTTAATTAAAGACTAGTCATTAGGCATTAAGTATTCAAATTTAGCATATAATAACAACGTATTTATATTTTTAAATTATAAAATTATCATCGTAACTTAAGAGCAAATAGTGAGGGAGATGATGACGAACTCGATCAGCATCCATGGTTTCGTCATCCTGAGCTATCATGGTCCTAGTCCAGTTAAATAGATGAGGTAATTGACCCAATCTGACAGAAAAATCATTTCATCCAAGGGAATCTTGCAGACTTATGGTAAATGTTTGTCCATATGGACTAATCTAAATCGACCTAAGCTTACAAAGGGCTTTGATTCCTATCAAATATACTCTATGTTTCAATACTCAAAAATGTATATTGTCATAGGAGAACAAATGAGCTATAGTTTTGACCATAATATAATAGTGATATTTGATGGTAAAACTCCTTGTCAAAGTGTTCTGGTCGTAATATTTAGCAGAAATATCATGCAGAAGATTCGGGCCACATCTTTATTATTATAGAATTTTTTTTAGTATGAATTTAGTCGTATTTTTTATACAACATTGGCTCTTTGTGAGCTTGAATTAGTATTACATTAATACATCCCGAAAAACGATTGTGAAGGATGGATGGATTTTGCTTTTGGCTTTTGACTAATTAATTATTCATTAAACATTTTGAATTTTGTAATTTAAAATCTTAATTTTATAAATGAACCCCTCTGGTTAAAATTCACGATTAATACGACCATCATCGGGGAAAATCATTACTTGACATCATTTGAAATATCTAGTCCTGTAGACTCTATGCCTTATTAGAAGGAGGCTAGGGATCAGTCTTGTCAACTCCAATCTCTATAGGAGGAGGATCAGGCTGGTCGAAGTGTGAGACTTATGACTTTGTTCTATAGGCTAAGTGGTTGGTTGCCCACGCAACATTCTCTAACCAAATGTATAAATATTTAACTAATTGGTCGGAGCACATTCGGTTGCTTAAAATTGTTGATTTGAGTTAATTTTTTAAATAGTTTTTGACACATTTAGAGGCAGATTTGATTTCGAATTTAAGCAAATATTTTAAGCTACGCAGCATTCTTGAGCAATTATCACATGTGGGAATTTAAGTTTGTTAGTTTAAATTGATTTATAGGAGACTATTATTATGTGTTTTGATTTAGATTTGTACAATACTTTTATTTTAAGTTATTAGTTTTGCTTTCTGTCCGCTCATGTAGTTGGGGTTGTGGACCAGTGACGAGCATTTGCAAAACTTCACTTTGAATACCTCAATATCACCTCATGTCTACTTCTAGATGCGTGTTGTGGATCCAGTGGCAATTATGTGCAAAACTTCACCACTAATCCCTCAATATCGCCTTCTATCTGCTTTTAGATATATGTTGCTGATCCGGTGGCGTAAATGTGCAAAGTTTAACTTCAAACCCTCCAATATTGTCTTTTGTCCTTTTGTAAATGTGTTGTGGATCCGGTGGTGAACTATGTGCAAACCTTCACTTTGAATTTGAAATTTGCTTTTTGTTTGCTTTTGCATTCATGTTGCAGATTTGGTAGCAAAATATGTGCAAAGCTTCACTTTGAGCTCCTCAAATATTGTCTTATG